AGCTTGATGAATGAATCGGCAAGGGAGTCTAAAAATTGCACTCCAAATGCCGTTCATCATGGCCTATATTCGTAGTGAATTCGATTTCTGGTACTCCAAATGAAGTAAATAAACAAAACAAAATGACGGTATTAGATTTTGATTTGATACAGAGCAGCAACAAGCCGCATATACGTATTTCGATCTCTTTAGATCTCCTCAGTACGGTATAGTTACTACTCCATATCAAACCGAATTCACTACGAATATAAGTACGAGTAGTAACTATACCATACTGAGGAGATCTAAAGAGATCGAAATACGTATATGCGGCTTGTTGCTGCTCTGTATCAAATCAAAATCTAATACCGTCATTTTGTTCTGTTTATTTACTTCATTTGGAGTACCAGATATCGAATTCACTAAGAATATAGGCCATGATGAACGGCATTTGGAGTGCAATTTTTAGACTCCCTTGCCGATTCATTCATCAAGCTGTTTGCTTCGCAAGTTTTAGGGAACACGGCGGCTTATATTTGAATTCGATTTTGCTAGGTAGAAATCGTATGATTTCTCTTTTTGTTCTTAGATGGCGTAGTTACGTCCGTAAATAGTTATTTTTAATAACTATAATCTACGACGGGAAAATATTTTGGTTTGATATGGAGTAGTAACTATACCGTACTGAGGAGATCTAAAGAGATCGAAATACGTATATGCGGCTTGTTGCTGCTCTGTATCAAATCAAAATCTAATACCGTCATTTTGTTTTGTTTATTTACTTCATTTGGAGTACCAGAAATCGAATTCACTACGAATATAGGCCATGATGAACGGCATTTGGAGTGCAATTTTTAGACTCCCTTGCCGATTCATTCATCAAGCTGTTTGCTTCGCAAGTTTTAGGGAGCACGGCGGCTTATATTTGAATTCGATTTCGCCAGGTAGAAATCGTATGATTTCTCTTTTTGTTCTTAGATGGCGTAGTTACGTCCGTAAATAGTTATTTTTAATAACTATAATCTACGACGGGAAAATATTTTGGTTTGATATGGAGTAGTAACTATACCGTACTGAGGAGATCTAAAGAGATCGAAATACGTATATGCGGCTTGTTGCTGCTCTGTATCAAATCAAAATCTAATACCGTCATTTTGTTTAGTACAAATATTTGTCCTTCTAAGATTACCATGACTGATATTTCTAATGTCATAAATGAAATCCCAATACGCTTACTGCTGGTCCAGATGGTGTGCCTAATTTTTTATTAATAAAATGTGTCTGTACTCTTGTAATGCCATTTGTTATATTGTTTAATAGATCTCTGGAAATCTCTATGTTTCCTTCTTCATGAAAAGAAAGTTATGTTGTTCCTATATTTAAAAATGGCCAGAAAGACAATATTGAAAATTATCGTAGCATTTCTATACAATCTTCAATCCCAAGCTCTTTGACTGTCTTATAGCAAAGCAACTTTCTTGTTTATGTAAAGGCTTAATATCAGAATCACCGCATGGTTTTCATAACAAAAAATCCACTGCAACAAGCTTGGTTTGCTATCAATCTGATATATTATCTCATATGGAAGACTGTAAACAAGATGCAATATACACAGATTTTTCCAAAGCATTTGATCGTGTATATCAACAAATACTTTTGGGTAAATTAATTAATGTAGGCTTTCATGTCAGGTTTGTTAAATGGATTAAAAACTCTACGGAAGACTCTTGACTCTAAAAGTCAAGATCGGTTGTCATCTGTCTGACAGTATCTCAGTAACACCTTAAGTTCCTCAAGGAGGCCACATTTCTCCACTTCTTTTAAATATCTTCATTAACGACATGACTTCCTGTTTCCTAAATAGCAAATGTCTAATGTTGCAGATGACTTGAAATTTTGGAAAATTATAGATGACTTAAAAGATCAAGCCTTGCTACAAGATGACTTGACAGACTACAAAATTGGTAGTATCAGAACAAACTCCACTTAAATGTAAAAAATGTTGTTTTTTTTTCTCGTAAAGTTAATAGAATTGGAACAAGCTGTACTATTAATAATCAACCACTGAATTATGTTTCTTCTATTCGGATGTGGGTGTTTTTTTTTCGATGAGAAGCTTACTTTCTGTGAGCATATAAACTCTATTTCAATAAAGGCATCTAAACTTCATGGTTTTGTTACTAGGAATTGCAAGTATTTCTCCATTGATTCAACAAGATTAGTGTATTGTTACTTAGTTAGAACTAATATTGTTCTGAAGCTATTTTCTTGTGGCATTGTAAATTAATTACTATTAAACTGGGAATAAGCCACAATTAAAGATAAAAATACGTTAATTTATTAATAATAACACGCTACCTTTCCTGGATGTTTTAATCTCTAAGAACGATACTGGATATGAGACTCAGGTGTATAGAAAACCAACACACACCAATAGATATTTAAATTTCAAATCAAATCACAATATTAATGTAAAAAAGGGAATAATTAAATCCTTATACGATAGAGCCAAAATTACTTGTTCTAACGAAAATTCGTTCTTGGAGGAGAAACATTTGTTAACATCTGTTTTATTAAAAAATGATTATCCTTTATCGTTTATAAATAAGGAATTTTCAACAATCGATCGAATAGAACAGAACAACTTAGAACGAGATCCTACAGCATACACAAGGAATAATATGAGGAAAATAACAATACCGTACATAAAAGGACTATCAGAAAAACTTAAAAGGATAGGAAATAAATTCAACATTTCAACAACATTCAAAACAACAAACACGTTGAGATCTATTTTGTCCAAAACCAAACCTAACAATGAACAAGAAAGGACAAAGAATTGCATTTATAAAATACCTTGTGAATGCGATCAGTTTTATTTAGGTGAATCATCAAGGCCATTAAATGTTAGAATAAGTGAACATCAATCTTATATTAAAAATAGAGAATTTGATAGATCTCAAATCTGTAAACACGCATGGGATAATGAACATAGGGTTCAATGGAATAATTCAAATGTAGTCCTAAAAGAAACGGATGGTAAAAAAAGAAAAATCAAAGAAGCGGCTCTAATTATGCTAAATGAGGCCAATTGTGTCGCAAATTCCTCGGCAGAATGTAGTAGGATCTGGTTACCAATATTGAAAGAGGAAGTTATTAATAAGAAAATACCAGTATTAGTAAGTCAGTAACATATAGAGGATACATCATTTATGTTTTTTAAATAACGTAACATATAAAATCAGAATTTTGATGTTTGTTGAAGGTAAACTAAATTCACGAACAAATACTTACAATGTCGGGATAGTTTATGAGGTTTTTTTCCTGGTTTTCCCTCATAATTTACTATGGAATCACTAACAGGAGAATTTTACTGTCATCATGTCATGTGTTTGTCTTTTTAAAGACAAATTACATGCTATGATTTTTTTCTGACGGATATTCTCAAGTTAAAGTTGATTTCATGTAATCGAATGAACTATCTTATAAGTAAAGTCGTCCCAGGAGCGCAACTCAACAATATTGGCAATATCATTTTAAAGTCGTCTACTTTAAAATGCATAATGTATGTCTGAATTGTCAATATAAATGAGTCAGATAAAATTAAATTATTAGAAGAATTTTTCACTATGTAACAAAAAACAAAATTTGTTTAATTTACTGTTTGTATTTTGAGAACGATTTCCGAAGTGGAAATTGAAACGTCAATAAACGTATTTTTATCTTTAATTGTGGCTTATTCCCAGTTTAATAGTAATTAGTTAGAACTATTTTGGAATACTGTTCAGTTATTTGGTCACCATATTTTCAGAACAATATTGATGCCATAGAAAGAGTCCAGCATAAATTTTTGAGATATTGTGCTTACCATGTCCACATTACTATTGAATATCATGATTATTCCTGTATCGAACAACAATTATCCTTACTTTCAATCAAGAACCATCGTGATATGTATGTTAAAACTTTAAGTGACCTGACGACGGCCCTGCACGGCACAAGCCTGGCTTGGCGATAGCTTGTCGCGTCAACAGAAGATAAGAAATCTCGTTGCGTCTTAACGGAAAGATCTGTGGCTGAAATTAACCCTCATCCGGCACTCATTCTGTTTTAAGTCATCAATGTAATAACATGTAGTATATTAGTTATGTTTGTAATATTTTTTAGTTTCATTATTACAAACAATTAAGTTTTTTCTATATTATAACATTTACATTGAAGTATTAAATAGTTTCATCTATGGTCTTGAGTTTTTTACTAAAACCACGGGAAGTCCAAATAATTTTTAGCAACAAGTAACTGGAATAACTCAAGATTCCCGTTTTCCACTGAACAGTTACACTACAACAATGTCAGGAGCTATATTTATTGATTGTTCAAACCTGGATTTATTGATTGTCCAAACCTATTAAGCCAGCCAGATTAACTTAAATGTTCCCCATCAAGCTCTATGTTACCACAATGTTTTGAATATTCCTTTCCACAGAACAACCTATGGTATTCACAACCCATTGGATAGATACATGGGGCTATTAAATGTTTTCAATATAACTTTAAATCAGTTACAAAGATCTCTTGGTTTGTGATATGTACATTGGGATTGTTGAATTTTGTTCTTGTTATATTTTGTTTGTTTTTTTAGTATGTAAGATTTTTAGTCTCATTTTTTAGTTTTTAATATTGATTTTATATTATAAAAAATTTCCAGTTTTGAATCCTAACTGTGATATTGTATTGTAATTAAAACTGTTAATGGGGTTATACTGTGTACTTAATAAATAAATTAATATTTTGTTTTATTTATAATTAAGATTTTAATTTCACTTAGTTTATAAGCAATTGCAGAGATTCATTATTACACTGTATGTTAAGATAAGTTTTGTACTGGGGGTGATCCCATATATTAATAAATAATAACCACTCATAGCACTTTCAGAGGAACACTAGCGAAAGAAGATATCTCTTTTCTTCTGTCAAACATCCACTAAAGTTTTAACCAGAACATATAATAAATACAACTATTGTAAATTTTATATTTAATTATAATTCATCAGTTCATGTAATCTACACTTCATGTGGAGTGTTACAATAAATTACTTAGATTATGCATAATATATTAAGTCAAAGAATAAATCTATATCACTAATAACGCATTTATTACACAGCATCTATTCTATTATGAACGATAGATCAGATTCTGATTGCACAGAAACCGTAGGAGAAAATATTTTCCACTAATGGCTATTACTAGAGATGCTAAATGAGTTATGTTAAATAATAAGTATTCTTCAATGATGTCTAATGGCTCTACTGCGTCATTTTCCTCTAAAATCTAATGGCTAAATGTCTGTGATAAATAACATTCCTGATTCTTTCCAAATTGTAAAAAAATCTGTTTTCATGTATTACAATTTTCTTTCTTATTCTTCAGTACCTTGCAGTTGATTATTTTGGAAAATTTGATAAACTGTGACAACTTGGGCATTGTCATTAAATTTACAGGAAACATGCAAGTCTGCTATTCTAAATACATAACAGTGGCTGCCCCATCTTTCCCTTAAGTAAACTGATCGAGGATCTTCTCGAAGTACATTGGAAATTGTTATTTTCTTATCTACTCCCTAAAAAAGTTATCGATTTAAACATACAAGTTTTCACAATAATATAAGTCTGTATTATATATACAATTAGAGAACCAATATATACATGCTGCAAAGCTGTATCGTAAGGTTTCTAAAGTAAACCAAGTAAAAATGTAATTTTACTTTCAACGGTTTTCAACAATTTTAACCTGCAATTTTTTATAATACAATCAAACACCCAGATCTTTAACTTGGTTAAAGATCTAGGTATTCTGAACATTTAAAGACTCAAACAAAGCATATTAAAGTATTTTCGAGGATAATGAGGAATACAATTGAACACAACAAATAAAAATCAACAGTGAATGCCCAACTATGAATATAAAATGTGAAAAAGCGTTGTTACCTCTGGTCCAAGCTGTAAAAGCTGTGCTAAAGCTCTATCTTTAAATACAACAGTCAATCTAGGAACTAATGGCTGATCAATCCAAGCTGGCACTCTAATATGCCCTTCTGGAGTAGTTGCTACAGGTAATGCTACTGGAGGTTGTGTAATTCTAGGAGATTCTTCTTCTTCTCCATCTGGAGCTTCACGTTCACCTATTCTTGAGTTTGACCTTTTAAAAGAATTTATTATTTAAGATAGTATGTTTTCCATAACAAATAATTAACCTTACCGAGCATACAATGCTTCCTCTGATCTAGAATGGTCATTGTTCGTACCAGGAGCACCTACAATCTGATCTCTTCTTTCATTTTCCTGTCCATCCATTGTGCGCTCATTATTTATTATTTGGGGGCTTCTATGGCTACCAGAATCTACCTCATCTGGTGAAGTTGGTCTAGAAATTCTTGATGTACTAGCTCCAGGGTCAGCAGTACTATTACTATTACTGTCATTTGTGTTGCTCAAATATATTGGGTTGTCATATTGGGGAATGTATGGCTTAATATCTAACACAGGGGTTTCATTAATCATATCTACACCACTAAAATTGAACAATAAAAAACATCAGTAATTATATAGACTTAAAGGATAAACCTGGAAAACATGTATTTTTTTATAAGTGTCAAGTTAATAAAAAAAGTAAAACAAAATAAAAACAGTAATAGAACAATTACAATTTGCACCTGAAAAATCAACAAAAACATTTAATTATCTTATTAATAAGAAACAAGCAATAAATAATAAACAATAATGAAAAATATTCAAATTTAAAGAAGGTTGACAAATACAGAGAGGCTCTGAAGAAAATAATTGTTAGAGAGTGGGAAATAGTGGCACAAGGCCAAAAAAGCATTAAAGGCAACAGTAAATACTGCAAAGATTCACAAAGCAATAATAATATAGTATAAAATTTAGCTTATTACCTTACCTGAAATAGATAGTATTATCCATTATTCTATCAATCTTAACTAGTGACAATCCTATAGGAGCAGGCCTATGAGGAGATCTTGTAGCGAATACACCAGTTCTAACACCATTTAATCTGGGAGGAGATATTTTAGCTTTTGCATGTGTGCCATCGTTTTTGTGAAAGTGAAATAAGATCCACATGTGAGAGTACTCTTGTAACCCATCTAATGCATGTTCTGGATTTGTGAAAACATTATTATCTAGTACTAGTTTAGCTGTCATATCTTTACATATACCGGGCTGCCTTGGAGTACCCCTTTTCTCTGGAAATTTAGTGCTTATTTTGCCTATGTAGTTGACTGTAAAATCTTGTTCTAAATTTGGTGCAGGCTGGGGTGAACTACACTGATTCTTTTTACAAGATAGACACTGCCATTCTGACAATTTCTTATTGATGTAATCAAGCTCTTTTCGGTGAACATGATTAAGAGTATTAAGTTGTTGCCTGGAAGGTTAACTTTATAATTTATGTTAAAAATGTGAAAGGAGTTTGTAACCTACCTTAAATTATTTATTTCTTTTCTAGCAACAAGTAATTGATTCTGTAGAGATACAGGGTCTAAAGGAAGAGTATTGTTTTGATTACTGCTGGCATTTTTACGTTCTGCAGACATTTTTATTTACAAATATTGTTAATGACTTTTTATTTGGATTATTTACACTTCACCTTCCAAATGTCACTGTCAAAATTTAGCAAAATAGTTCAAAGCACGATCTGTCAAGTTAACCAATCCCAATGGACCACAGGAGTGATGACGTAGATTTGATTGACATCTGCCAGTTTCACTTTCCAAACAAACGTTGTTTAGTGTGGATAATTTGTATTTTTCGTTATTTTTTCATTTATTTTATAGAATCTTTCCGCTTTTTGCAATATTTAAGTATTCTAATAGTTACTACAACAATTTTACAAGGTTGTGTAAATAATAAAGCACATTGTTTTATGCTAATAGGAATAAAATGAAAGTATCAATAAAGTAAGGTTAAAATTTCTTTAATTAAACTTTTAAACCATATTTCATAGAAATAGAACTCTGAATTATGACGGTATTATCGTAAAAACACTATACTTACAAGAAAAAGCAGCAGAGGAAGCAAAATGTTAACTTTATAGGAATTAAAAAGTCTTGAGATTTGACATTTTAACGTTTGTTTGGAAAGTAATAATGACAATGTGACGTCACACTCCTGCGGTCCATTGCTCTGACCATGAAGTTGTTAGCAGCTCCACAGAATAATAAACAATGTTTATTATTCTGTGTTTATTATTGTTATTATTATGTGGCAGCGCACAGAATAATTATTCTGGGGCAGCGCTGTGCGATTCGAATTAATGTTATTTATTTTCTTGATTATTTTTATATAGATTCTATATTTCTTTTTCATTTCTTTCCAAAAGTTATATCAAAGTATGATTGTAAATAAATTTTGCAGGAGAAGATTGAAAAAGAAAGCAAAAGCACGGTCCCTTTTATTTTATTCTAGCATTTTTCAGTTTGTTCTACTAGAGGTCGGTGGCATACTATAATAAGGTAGAGTCGCCAAATAAGGCCAAAATATTTCCTTAAATATAGATATTATATACTATGGTCCGTTTTTTAACCAGGAGGAGTAATTCAAATTTTCCGCGCCGTAATGCTTGTTTACAATTGGTCCAACCACAGGCAAGTTTACTCCACTAAATTATGACATATTGACACTAATGACATTTGTGAAATTTATTTATTATTGTTTTCCTCTAATATATAAATCGATTTCTGACTCTATGTAATAACTTGGACTTGGGATATGCGAATATTATTTAATGTGATATTTTTCTAGATATTTATACTAAGTATAGTTTAAAGTTTTTGTAAATGTATGTTATTTATATTTAATTATCATAAGAAAAACGGCAACTATCTTTTAAATTTAGTGTATACTTGTTAAGAAGCATTTTCATTTTGTTTTCATCACAAAAAAAGAACATTTGTAAAGTAATGTTGTGTTTTAGTTTGATTGTATTGATACAGTTGGTTTTGTTCTTCCTGGTTGTAGATCATCACAAGAAAACTGCAAAATTATGTTAGAACGTAACATAAAAGATTGAATTTGTTGATTATCTCACAGAAATCCAGTATTTTTTAGTAAATTTTATTTATTGATAACAAATAGGACAAATTCACTGTCAAAATTTAATAAGAATCGAGCAATGTCGAGCATTAAAGAAATTGTAAGTACACATTTATTTATACAAAGTATCTTTTTGCATTTTAATGCTTCCAATAGAACCTAAATATATTAATATATAAGTTAAACAAATCTATCTAATGAGATAACTGATAACCATGCATGAAAAGTAGGACCACACCTATATTTGAACCATAATTTATTCTGTGATGGGAAACATGAAAAAGTAAATTCTAAAGCAGTGAACGGGAAGGAATATGTAAAAGAAATTAGCTGAAGCAATTCAGAAGATTGGATTATTAAGCTTAAAAATAATGATCAAAGTCAAAGTTAACTCTTCTGGTAAGAAAAAAAACTAGATTCAAGAAATTGATAACACCAGAATAAGAATATGGTCTACACAGTTTAAAAGAACAGTATTTCAAAAATCTTTGAACTCTCTCTAACTTTTTGATACATACATTTGCATAGCTTTGTTGCATATAAGATCTATTTGCAAATTAAAAGACAAACTTCTGTGAAAAACCATACTTAGATCTGTAATATTATTGACTCTCCGGATCAAAATATTCTCTAAATTATAATTAAATACCATAGACTCAAGAGATATATAAAACTGGATCATCCGATATTTAAATATATATATACATGGGACCAAGTGTGAAAAACGTCCTTTTTTATTGTAATAATTATAAATTATAACATATATTGGAGGTAAATTGAGAAAAATTATTATTCAAACATAAATAAACAAAGTTGGGTTAAAATTGACGTGTAAGGTTGTCCGATATTGGTTACTGGATTACCGCAAGGCCGAGATAATCAGCAAAAAAAGAAGATGTATTTGGTGACTTTTCTAGTAACTTTCTTGGGTGTGAATCTGTCTTTTTGGTTTACTCCTCCTGGTTAAAAAACAGAGTATAGATGTCACTGTAAATCGCTTTCCCAGTCAAAATCGTCTACGCCTTCAAACAGCAGCGCGAAGTATATTATATTTCTTTGTAAAGCAATAGAAAATTAATACTCTTTTAGAAACTGGTACTGTTTTTTCGCTATATTGCTTTTTATTATTGTTCTTTTATGTTAAATAGAAAAGTAGACAGTGCCCTAATAAGGTCAATTGATTGGCCTTATTAAGAGTCTTATTATGTGCTGGTTGACATTATAAACAATTTGTTTACATAATCGTTTAAAATATTTTTCTTTGCAGATATGTACATCAGGAAAAGGGCACAGTGGACCGAAGAGGCCATTGAAGCTGCAATGAATGCCGGACGAAATGGCATGGCTGTTCACAAGGCAGCACTTACATTTAATATTCATCGGCGTACGTTACGTAACCATCTAGCTAGTGGTAATTCACAAAAACGACTTGGTCGGCCTCCAGTAGGTATACCTACACTGCATCACCAACAAACTGTATTGGCTAGTAAAGGTGCTAAAAGGGTGCATATCGTTGTACCGGAGCACGGCGAAAATATAACAATCGTGGCATGTGGCAACGGCGTAGGCAACAGCATTCCGCCACTTATCATTATGAAAGGGTAACGAGTTAAACCAGAATGGTATTATAATCTTTCAGCAGAAACAAAAATTATAATGACCAAAAATGAAGCCAGCAGATGCATTTATAGAGTGGTTAGATAACTTCTGCCGATTTAAAAATCCTGGACCAGCCCTTTTAATTTTTGATGGAGCTTTATCTCATTTAGACATTAGAATTGTAGAAGCTGCAATAAAAAAGATCTAACTCTGTTTTGTCTACCGTCCAACACCACCCATGAGCTTCAACCACTCGATAAAGTAGTCTTCAGCAGTTTTGAATCTTACTGAGATGAGGAGGTGTTAAGTTTTTGGGTGAACCATAATAACGAATGTACCACCAACCGAGCAAGATTTGGGCAAATATTTAGGCCGGTTTGAAAAAACGCAATGAAGCAAAAAAATATCATAATAAGCAGTAGGTATCCGGAATAATGCTATTCCGGATGCTGCTTTGCTCCTAGTTGTCTGACACAACGAGAGATTGAAACAATCGCCAAGATTTTCAAGAAAATTCTACAACTCAACCAAAAATTAAAACAACTGATAAAAAGAATACAAATTTCGAAAAACAGCTATCCTGCAGCGGTGAAAGCAAAAATAATAAAAGCAAAGCATTCTTGAGTAGTGAGAAAAGGAAAATTACCAAAAAAAGAGGAAAGACCAAAGTTTTTCAAACATCTTACATCTCAGATGAAGACAGTGACTCATCTGGGTCTTACAAAAGTGGTACTACAGCTTCCAGTGAGGATTATAGTGATGCAGTTTACACGTCAAATAAATATGATAAAAATAAAGTTGCAAAAATAAGTGAGACAGAGCCATGTGAAGAACTAAATCCAAGGAATCCAAAAAAACGTGGACAAGCGATTAATGCGAAAACACAAGAAGTTACCAGAGATTTATTTAGTGCACAATCTCATAGCTCAGCAAAACCAAAACCAAATTTAAATGTGATATGCACAAGTGTGTTTGTTGTAGTAAGTATATCCACGAAGAATGTATAGGATTAACAGAAGACGACAAGGATATATTTGTATGTCCTCGATGTGTGTAAATGTGCGATATATGTACTTAATGTATTGACAAATTTTTGTTTTTAATATAAATAAAAGTTTCTTTCACTAAACTTTGTATTTATTCTTTAATTCTTAGGTTTAAAATTTATTATCCACGTGAATTCTTTAAAAAATGAAACTGGCCTTATTAAGTTACAAGTTTCAAATAAGGCCAAATATTCAAGATCTTTTCAATGTTAAAATTTTATATTTCTTTATTTATTTATTAAGTATTTTATCGTGAAATTCGATAGCTAAAATGTTAGGCAATACGTATACAGACTTTTCCCTCTAATTTTTTGCTGAATAAAATATTACAGACATTTAAACCTTAACGTGACCTTAATTGGCGTCCTTACCTTATAGTCTAATTCTATATAGTCTAATATCGTAGACTACACATTGTAGTCTTTTATAATTAAATGTGTAATAATTTATGAGAAAAAGACACATTCTAAAATTTTAATTTGTTTTGCATTATTCGATCGGTGCGACTATAAAGATTCTACATCAACAACTAGCCAAATAACTAGGACTTCTCCAAACCATCTCCCTAATTATTAATACGTCCCTGACAAAATCATTGAAAACGATGAATGCCGGCTAACCTAGAACAGCAGTGTGCTCACAGGCCAACCAGTGACACATAATAAACCGGATCTCATATTAGTTAATAAACTAACTAGACAAGCAACACTAATTGATGTGGCGATACCTACCTAATAACAATCATGTGCGTGTTAAATTCAACGAAAAAATCACCAAAAATAGAGATCTTAAAACACAAATAAGGAAACAATGGAAAACGGAAAGTACCTAGATGATACCTATTATTCTTTCTAGTAGTGGAGTCATTTCGGAGAACCTCATAGAAAATAAAAAGCAGCTGAGTTTTAGTGAAAATCAGCGTACCTACTACAGAAATATGTAAATATGGAAATAACAAACATTTTATTGATAACAGCTACGTGTCATAGACCTTTTGTCCATTTATTGCAAGAGAGTAAAATAATGCATTAAATTTTACTACAGCCGTCAGAGACGAAAATGCCACTAAATCTTCAAAAATCATACGATCAAGTAGAACTTTTGCTGAGAATGTCACTTTTGAGACTCGAAAAAAATGCAGAAAAGTTTATCACTACTACCCTCCGGCTGTCTCTCATAGGGGTAAAAAACGAATAAAAAAAAATCGATTTATCAAGAATCTATAATGTAGGTAGCTGAGATAATTTTGGAAAAAATG